TTTGATTTATGTAGAGATGAGGTCTCGCCAAGTTGCCCAGGCGGGTCTCGAACCCGCGGGCTCAGGCAATTCACTCACCTCAGCCTCCCAAGGCGCGGGATTACAGGCTGAGCCACCAAGCCCGGCAGAAATGTTAATTTCTTTTTGAAATTTGACCCCACTGAATTCTAAACACGAGCATTGCAGTATTGCCTGCCTGGTGTTTCTGTAGAGCAGCTTTATGCACAGTAAGGGTCACAGCATAGTAAAGGATCATCCTGTGGCCCCCAGGTATGTCAGAACAAAACTTCCATGTTGTCCTCAGTGCTGAGTGCTGACAGATATGTGCAAACTTATCCCTCTATCTGGGGGATCACTGATTTATTAGGGATGGGTTCCAAGTGATTTCTACCAACTGTGAGACCCTTCATTCATTTGTTCATTTGTTGATTTTCAATGGGATAGGATGTTATGATATGTGAATTATAAGACAGGGCCTCAAATGAACTAGTTCCATTTCTTCATTTTATCAAAGCTGAGAAAGATTCAATGACTTTCCTCAAGGACATATAGAAACAAGACTAGAATCCGAGTCTGTTGAGTTCCTTGGCCAGTATCCTGTCTCTTATTCTCATGCTGAGTAAGGTATCGCAGTTGTATATATTTGAAGAAATTGCGAGCATGTACCACCTTTTTAAATTTGTAGCAACAGCTGTTTCAGGTGTTCATTGCTGATTAGTAGTTCCTGGGATTTCAGAGCTAGAAGGGACATTTAGAGAGTGTTTTGTCAAATTTATAGACTGAACTTATGATGACTGGGCACCTTCTCCATGCCAGATTCTGGGCTGGCACTGGGAACTGAAAGATGGCTAGGATATTGTCCTTGTCCTAGGATGCTGCCAGTCTGATAGGATGCTTTGCCTGTGCATTAAAGTGACAAGTGCCATAATATAGGTGTATGCAGAGTGTTTTTAAAATACAGAAGAGGAAGGAATTACTTTCCCTGGGTGAATTGTGGCAAGTTTGAAAAAATAGATCATCTCTGAGCTGGACTTCGAGAGATGAGTAGGAGTTCAGTTGGCAGAAAAACAGGCCTATGGTGAGAGAAGAACAGAGGTGTTAAAACACAAAGTATATTCAGAAAACAGCAGATTGTCTGAGGACACGAATATAGGATGTAGGGCAGTGGAGGGCTCTTGAGATGAGGCTAAAATTTTAAAAGAGGTAGCTTCACTTGGTCTTGAAGATCCTTGTGTGCTGTGTTAAACAGTATGGTCTTTATGTGGAATTTATGTGGGGAAGTAATGCGGTGCAATGTGTTTAAATTTTTTTTTTTTTTAAATTTTAGAGATGAGATTTTGCTATGTTGCCCAGGCTGGTCTCAAACTTTTGGGCTCAAGCAATCCTCCCACCTTGGCCACCCAAAGTGCTGGGATTACAGGTGTGAGCCACCGCACCTGACCAAATGTATGTTTTAAGAAGAAGTAATATAGTGGTCAGGTGGAGAACTGACTAAAAAGACCAGAGGCTGGGACTCAGTGGCCCACTAGGTGGCTGCTGTTACAGTCTGGGGTGAGTCTGTAGAATAAGACTAGAGAGCAGCTGAGTACAGAAACTTCTGGAACACCACCCTTCATGGGAGGCAGAGAAAGAGGGGCTTTTGAGAGAGGCAAAGAGTGGTTTGTGAGTTCGGGTCCTAACAATAGCAGTAGTAACAGTAGCAGTCATTAATGGGATGCTACCACACACCAGCCATTCCACTGGTCACCTGAGAATACTGACATGCTTTGGCTCCCAGCAACCCTGCATAGCTGCTGTTTTACAGATGGGAAGCCGGGTAGTCCCATAGAAGCCAAGGGCGGGAAACTTTCCAGAAAGAAAGGATGGTCAGTAGTGGGGCAGGTACTGGAGAAGTGTAACACAGGTCTAGAGCCCCTGGGATTTGGCAGGTGATGCTGGCTTTGCTTTTCCTGATAGGTACTCTCAGCCTCTGCATGAGGAAATAGCCCTGCATAAGTACCTCAAGCACCGCAATATTGTTCAGTACCTGGGTTCCGTTTCAGAGGATGGCTACATCAAGATATTTATGGAGCAGGTGCCTGGAGGTGAGTGATCGCTGTCTTCTGGTCTCACATTCTGGAAATCAGTGCTGAAAATATGACATGGGAAAATATGACATGGGTATTATTAGTTGTCCTGCCATTTAAACAATGACAGTCCCCTATGCCAAGCTTGTAGGGTGCCTGTAGTCCCAGCTACTCAGGAGGCTGAAGTAGAAGACCTCTTGAGCTCTGGAGTTTGAGGCTGCAGGGACCTGTGATCACACCTGTGAATAGTCACTGCCCTCCAGCCTGGGCAACAGAGCAAGACAACTATCTCTAAAAAACAACAAAAGACAGATCTTTTAGATGTCAGAAGGCATTTGTTTCTCAGAAGAGTTGGATACAGACTTTTCCAAATGTCATATAAACAGTCTATTTCTGGTTGGTTGGTTTGCTTAATCAGTTTATTCAACCAACAAACATTCATTGAATATCTACTGAGTGTCACCCACTGAGCACATAGCTACTTGAAGCATAGTCTTTGGCCTTGAGGCCTTCACAGTCTAGGAGTTTAAAGATGGCTTGGAGAAGAGGGGGCATAGGTTTGAAAAGTGACATTGCAAAATAACATATTGATGATGAAATTAAACACCAGTGCTTTCTCCACTAAATCCCCAAATGCTGGCCATAGAATACAGAAGGAAGACTTCTTCAGATTTGAGCCCAACCATCTAGTTTGGATCAGCCTCTACATCTATAAGCTGTGTGATCTCAGGCAAATTATTGTACTTTTCTGTACCCTCAGTTTTCTGGTTGGATAAATGGATTGTAAAATTGGAGTAATAATAATTACTATAATAATTGGAGTAATACTTATATGAATAATAACAACCCTATCTTAGGTTGGTGGGTGGATTAAATGAGATAATACACATACAGCTCTTAGAACAGTGCCTGTCAGAGAGCAAGAGCTCAATGCTTGTTGAGATGATAAAATTAATAGATGTTTAATTCAATAATGATTATTATTGTCTGAATACAAATGTAAAAACTTCAGTTAGAAATCTCCATTCCTTCAACTGGCAGTTATTAAGAGTCTACTATTATATTGACTCTGATTTTATATATATATAAAAAGAGAGAGTCAGGCAATGGGCTAGATTTTGAGAACTTATGTTAAAGATAAATCAAGTACAGTTTCTTGTTCTCTCAAGTAGCTCCTAATCTGGCAGAAAGTTTGCCTATTGCTGTTCACATTAGTTGGTATTCCAGAAATTAGGTTTAAGGGTAACAACAGAATTAGAGACAGATGTATTCATCCCCTTTTACAGATGGGGAAACTGAGGTACAGCAAGGTCCCATAGCACTGTGTAAGTGGGAAGCTGAGAGTGGTTGATGCCCAAGGGCCCATTCTGCCAGCAGGCAGGACTACCCACAGCACACTTAATGACCTCTGCGACAAGTGGTCAGAGTGTCCTGAAGGGAGCATTTCTTTTGGCACAAGTTCAATGTTTAATAGTGTGATTGGAGGAAAGGGCTGTTAGTTAATCAAGGCAGTCCTGCCCCTGTGACCTGCTGTTGGTGCCTTCTCACAATGAAGACAGAGAAGCCAACTTCCTCCAGTCCTAGTTCTTGTCACCCTGAAGAGTCCTCCCTCTGGACCTGTCCACCTCTGACTATAGGACAAGATATAAAATGTGGCTTCGACCCATGCAGAATGGCTGAGACAGTTGTGATGCAAACAGGTTTCATGAGACCTGTGCAGCAGAACAAAGCTAAAGCCACAGTTGGCTCCACCGAATTTCAAGGATCACAAGGGGTTCCTGTTCACCCTCCACCTCTGGTCAGGCTCATGTACTGAGTCACTTCCAGTTCATTCCCTGGCTGTGGCTGGAGGTGATGACGATGGTATAAGGACTTACATTAGATTGGAGACCTCATCTCACTTTATTTCTCTGAGCTCTTGCAATTGAATCTTTGTCATCCTGGTGACATTTTTGCTGTGTCTGTTTCTAGGAAGCCTTTCTGCTCTTTTGAGATCCAAATGGGGACCAATGAAAGAGCCTACCATTAAGTTTTACACCAAACAGATCCTGGAAGGCCTTAAATATCTTCATGAAAACCAGATTGTGCACAGAGACATAAAGGTACTTGCTTTCCTAAGTCAACAAGGTTTCGTTTTGCTCATATCAGATTGTGAAAGCTTTTGGTAGTGTCTGTCGAGTGACTGGCTCACAGCGGCATATGACTTAGCATGTTGATCCCCCAAATGCAAAGTCTTGTCTTCCTAGAGAATTGTGACAGTTTTCTCAAAGTCCAAATCTGTTTCATGTTAGTTGGTTTAAATCTTTCTGTAAGCACTCTATGTCATTCTTTTTCTAAAGGGTGATAATGTTCTGGTGAACACCTACAGCGGAGTGGTAAAGATCTCTGATTTTGGAACCTCCAAACGTCTTGCGGGAGTGAATCCCTGTACAGAGACTTTCGCAGGTAGGCAGGCCAGATCTTGGCATGGGGTGTCTGTCTTAGCATTAAGCTTTCTGTACAAGCTGCACTCACTCAAGGGTTACTTACTGAGCACCTTCTCAGAGCAGAGTGGGCAATTGATACTTGGAATGGACAGTGTATTGTCCCAAATTTCAAACGGGTTTAACTTTGTCATAGTGACACGCTTAGCTAGCTACTTATGGCAACAAGATTGCCCTACTTTCCTCTTCCTTGTCTTTCAAAAGTTGGGTAGGTGTAGTGTACTGCTAAGATGTTCTGAGGGTTTCTCAATCATTCAGCAAAATGGCAGCATCTCTTTAAAGTTAATAGCACATTATTCAAAGTCGTGGGTAATTCTGAATAACAGTATTCCTCAGACAACTATTTATTAAGACATTTTATTGGTCTATCACAAAAATAGCCTGTTACCTTAGTGAATTTTGATACCTTGTGTTTTGATATGATTATGTTTCCGAGGGAAGCTAATTCTGCCGGGGAAATATGGTATTCTAAGTGATTTTGAGGAATTGGATTTTCTTTTCATGAGTCAGTGATGGAATAACTTAAGTGTGGCAAAGGACTGGATTCAAAAAATGGTGTAAAATTACCAGTTAGCTTTACATTTACAAGACTATTCAGGAGAATGATGCCCAAAACTACCTATGACTTCTGGAAACTCCTGCTTAAAAAACAACTATGGCAAGAAATTTGATCCTTGGGAAGAAGTACTGATTTTGAATAAGTAAAGGTTTGTGGTCCCCCAAGGAGTAACATAAAGATCATAGATGTCTTGCTTGATAGAATCATGAAACAGCTCTTATAATATTATGGCTCTGAATAAAATATAATTTAATAATATAAAAGACAGATGACTGTTTTCTATCCTGGTAGTCACCAAAGCTGTAGAGTAGACAGCTTGGGCCTTATTTTTAGTGAATAATGTCTCATCCTTGAAAGACTTTTTGTCAACAAGAGAGTTGTTGTGTGTCGGTCATTGGACACCCACAGTGGAGACACAGTCCCCGTCTGAAGAGAATTTTAATACATTATAAATAACTTCGCACTAGTAATATATGTGCCTCAAAGTGGGAAAATATTACACCAAGGACTCCATCAGAATCTCTGAGAATGTACTGAATTTTCATTCATTGTTTCTGGTATATATATACATATATCAATATGTATATATGAATGTGTATGTATGACTGGTACTTTATTTTCTTTTAGCGTTTACTAATGGAAAATGACTTATAGCCTCCTCTTTGGAGGTTTCCAATTAGCTTGGTAACACGTAGCAAGAGGGGTTCTGATATGACAAGGAGTTATTTCAAGACATAAACTCCCAACAATTTATCTCATAATTAACATCCCTGAGGAGAAAAAACATCCACAAAGAAAACACATGTATAATTCATGATTGCATATCACATTTCCCAAGCAATTGGCTTGAGGAGGCGCAAATTTTGCATCGCAAAACAGTGCAGGGGTGTTTGGGGGATAATAAAGGAGGGTGTCCATTTTGGTTAGGAAATTCCCCTGCATATCATTGCTCTTTGCAAAACAGAGCAGTTCTGTAAAGAACTCTCAGCTGGTTGGTGCAGAACTCTGGGTCTGGTGGATGTAATGGGTTTCCCCCCATAGATAACTGAAGGCTTCTGAGCCTGACAGGAAAGCAGGAAGTTTCAGGCAACTTCCTGGCCTGCCAGCCTCCCATTCGTTTGACTCTGAAGGGTTTGCACCAAAGGTGTAAACCGGCTAGAATAGGAGGAAGGACCAGGAAAGCCAGGATCAATCCCTCTTTTTTATTGTTGTTGTTTGTTTGTTTTTGAGTCGAGGTCTCACTCTGTTGTCCAGGCTAGAGTGCAGTGGCACAATCATGGCTCACTGCAACTGCAACCTCCTGGATTCAGGTGATCCTTCCACCTCAGCCTCCTGAGTAGCTGGGACTACAGGTGTGTATCACCATGCCCGGCTAATTTTTTTTTTTTTTTTTTTTTGTAGAGACAAGCTCTCACTATGTTGACTAAGCTGGTCTCGAATTCCTGGGCTCAAGCGATCTTCCTGCCTCAGCCTTCCAAATTGCCAGGATTACAGGCTTGAGCTACTGGGCCCAGGCCTTTTTTTTTTTTTAGCAGCCTTATTGACATATAACTTGGATATCATAAAAGCACCCATCAGAAGTGCACAATTCAATGGTGTTTAGTAAATTGACCGAGTTATGAAGTCATCACCACAATCCAGTTTTTGAACATTTCTATCACACCTAGAGGATCCTTGTGCCACTTTGTACTCAATCCTTATTCCCACCCCAACCCCAGGCAGCCACTCACCTACTTCCCATTTGTGTGGGTTTGCGTGTTCTGGATATTTCTGTGTGTAGAATGATTCCAGCATGCAGGTTTTTGCATCTAGCTACTTTCACTTTGTGTAATGCCTTCGAGGTTCATCTGTACTACTTCATTCCTCCCATGGCTGAGTAGTATTCCATAGTATGGGTAGGCCACATTTTGTTTATTCCTTTAGTAGTTAATGGTCACTTGGATTCTTTCTGCTTTGGGGCTATCGTGAATGATGTCACTGTGTACATTCACATGCAAGCCTTTGTGTGAACATATGTTTTCATCTCTCTTTGGTAGATACCTTGTAGAACTGGAGACAAGATCTCTGGTCTATGACCGTTACCATCCTTGGCTCAGCCGCTTGCTAGCTGTATCACCTTGGGCATGTGGCACAGATCGTGTAACCTCTATGTGTCTCAGTTCCTTCATAAGTAAAATGGGAATGCTCAGTACCTACCTAGCTCATAGGGTTTTTCTGAGGATTAAATGAGTTAATATTGATGAAGTGCTTTGATTGGTACCTGGCACATAGCAAGTGCAACCACAGTGTTTATTAATTAAATAAATAAAATAGGGCTGCAGTGGTGTGCCCGTAGTCCCAGCTACTCGGCATGCTGAAGCAGGAGGATTGCTTGAACCTAGGAGTTCAAGGCTGCAGTGAGTCATAATTGAGCTACTGCACTCCAGCCTAGGTGAGATAGTGAAAACCTGTCTGTTTCTCTCTCCCCCCTCACCCCTAACATGTGTGAGAGTGTGTGTGTGTGTGTGTGTGTGTGTCTGTGTGTGTTTACATACAAGTCTTTGTGTGGACATATGCTTTCTGCAGAGTTAGCTTGTTTGTAGTATAAGAAAGTAAGTGAAATGCAAAGAAAAAATAACAAATAATACTAACTTGTACTTAGAAGTCATGAGTTATTGGAGCTAGAAGGAGTCTCTGAGAGCACTAACTTTATGCTTGTAACTAATGTGTTGAACCTGTTGGATTAAAAAGGTATAATCATCAAATCCACTGGATTTTTTCTATCCCACTACCCCTTTCCATCCTGCCCAGGGCAGGAGTTCTTTCCCATGACTTTTCCAGCCACCCTTACATAACAAAGAGAAAGCCATAATGGCACTTCAAGGAGCAAACACAGTCTGAGTCCAGTAATTCCAAGGGTTCAGACTAATATACTAATCAATGTTCTGGTCCTCATTCAAAGGGCAGATTCCCCTCCCTGTTCCCTGGCAGCAACCTGTGGTCAGGATCAGGGTGTTGGCTTTTTCTCCCTACTCTCCAGCTGCAGGATGGAGAGGACGGGCGTGGAAAGTTGTCACTTGACTAGCACTGTCATGAGCTGGCTTTGTGTGCTGTTGGCCTGGCTGATGTTCACTGTTAATTTTGTTTGCTGACTCCCTCTGAATATAACTCCCATGTTATGGGCAGGGGCCTGTCCTTTACCCGACAGCTCCCTCCCCTCCCAATCACTTACCTCTCACATTATATCCACCCCTCTATCTCTTTCTACTGAGGGATTTAGGCCTTGGAAGACTGCCCTTGAATAGAATTTCTTTTCTTTTTTTCTCTCTTTTCTTTATTTTTTTCTATCAGGCAACCCTCAGAACCAGAACAGGCTCAGAGAGACTCTAGGATTTCTTTTAAAAAGCCCCTAAACCAGCTGACCATGGTGTCCCGTGCCTGTAATCTCAGCGTTTTGGAAGACTGAGGTGGGGGGATTGCTTGAGGCCAGGAGTTCAAGACCAGCCTGGGCAACATAGTGAGACCTTGTCTCTACAAAAAATTTAAAAATTAGCTGAGTGTGGTGGTGTGTGCCTATAATCCCAGCTACTTGGAAGGCTGAGGCAGGAGGATCGCTTGAGCCCAGGAGGTTGAGGCTACAGTGAGCTATGATCGTGCCACTGTACTCCTGACTAGGTGAGTAAGCAAGACAATACCTCTAAAAAAAAAAAAAATTAAAAAAATCCTAATTCAGTATGTCTAAAATGGGTCCCACATTTGGTATCTGAAGTTCATGTGCCTTCTACTGACTGTTGAAGATGGTGTGGCAATATCCCTAGACTTTATGGTCTCCCTGTTTGCTGCTGTAAGTTGCTTTTGCTCCCTTGTGATCCAACCTACTGTGCAACTTACTTATAGGGGACACGTATATATCAAGCTCTGAGTCATTCCAGTGAAGACCTCTTTAAAGGCTTTGGGTTAGGAAGAGTCAGTTCCCTTCCCCCCAGGCCTATCCCTTGGGCGGGGCAACTGTGGTGGCCTCTGGGGCCATGGGAAGTTGCACCTTACTTCCCTTTTCTGTATTGCTTAAGATTAAATGTTAAAATTTGGGCTCTCCCAATATCTTCAAGGGCCTATGAAAGATGTGATGCTCCTGAGGAGACATTGAGTTGCTTGAGTCACCATGGACCCATGCCTTTCTGGGGACAGTCCTGCCCCAATTCCTCTAACTCAGGAGAAGACAGACAGCCCAGCTCTCTCTAAAGAAACTGCTTCAACACCCCCCCCCCAATACCCAGTCTCTACTCTCTCAACTCTTTCAACCCCTTGATCTGGATGGGAGCCCCTGGGCCTCAGTCAAAAAGTGTTGCCTTATGCCATATGTCTTATTTGCTGGTGATCTGAATATTCTTATTGGACAATTGCCCAGGAGACCCCAGCGGATTTTATGTTCCCAAAGGGGCTGGGTCAGTGCCTGTGGGTCTCCTGGTCACTTTGTTCTGAACTCTGTACCACTGCATGGTATAGGTACCTAAGAGCCATGGCTGACTGTGACCAGGGACCAGTGTGATGGGGCATACCTCTTAGAGAAAATGTAGGGAGGAAACGAGGTCCCTAAGAGAGCCAGATTGAAGGCTGCCCAATTTTGTAGGATTGCTGCATTATTCAGGTGCCTCACAGTGCTATGTTCTCTTGGTTTTATTGACAGAATCTGACCTTCAGTATAGCTGATGTACACCCCCAACATGTATATCATCAGACATGTTCCCCATATTATTTGACATAGTTGTGTGCTTCCCTCTCCCTCTGTTGGCAGTTGGCTGTGAGTGAATGGTCATCCTGTGAATATGACATGAAGAAAATGGAGCATGCAGTTTTCCATTATTGCAACACACTCTCCAGTTATATGTAAAGAAGCTACAATAGGGTTTTGGAAATCCTTCCTTCAGTTGCTCCTATTCAGTTAGCTTTTTCTTCAGAAGTGCTTCTCCTTGATGTATTGTGTAGATCAGCAAAGTCATAGTGTATAGTTCTGAACTTGGAGATAGAAGACCTGGGTTCTAGCTTAAGCAAGTCTTTTAGCTTCTCTGAACTTCAGTGTCCTTGCGTGGAAAATGGAAACACCAGCAGATAGTGCCTCCTTTGCCCAGCCTTATAGAGTTGTGAGTCAGATGGACAACACTATGTGGATATACTTTGTAAGTCATCAAGTGCTGACCAGAAGTCAGGGTGTTGTGGCAGACAGCCTCCAAGATGACCCCGATGATACCTATCTCCTAATAATCACACCATTATGTAATCCCCTCCCATTGAATGTGGGCTAGACTTAGTGACTTGCTTCTAATGAATAGAAAACGTTGAAGTGATGGTGTGTGATCTGGAGGTTAGATCATGAAAGGCAGTGTGGCATCCCTCTTTCTTGGATCACTGTCTGAGGGAAGCCATGTCTTGAGAAGCTCTGTGGAGAATCTCACATGAGGAGAAACTGAAGCCTCCTATTAACCCCAGCCTGAGCAGCTGAACTTGGAAACTGATCCTCCAGCCCCAGTCTAGCCTTCAGATGACTGTAGCCCCAGCTGACATCTTGACTGTAACTTCATGGGAAACCCTGAGCCAGATCCATTCATCTAGCTAATCCTGGATTCAGACAGACCTTTAAAAGCTATGTGAAATCATGACTATTTGTTGTTTTAAGCTGCTGGATTTAGGGGATCATTTATGACAATATGGATGTCATTGCTAAGTCCTTGCCTTTAGAAAGAGTGGTGTTCACCATGGCTCCATATTTTAAAAAATCCAAATTTAACATTAAGCAGACTAAATAAATAGACTCCAATTATGAAACAATTGTACTAAAGTGGACAGTTATTTGACCAAGGCTAATTAGCCATTGCTATGTGGTCTAGTACTATTTTCCACTAATGTGTAAATCTGTAACTTTATTCTCTTGCTCTCTTAAGAATTAAATTTAGTGATGATATTAGTCAGGATACAGACAGGAAAACAAATCACCCTAGTTATTTTTGCAGAGATAATTTAATGGAAAGAACCGTTTACTGGGTACTGAAAACTGGACAGGCAGAAAGGAGGCCCTGAGGCATCAGGAAGCATCCTACACCCCTAGTCCTTGGGGGGCAAATGGGAGGGTGGGATTAGAACCTTTGAGGAGGGGGCCTCACTGGGCTGGAGCAAATACCTCTGAGGGGCAGGATGAGGCTGGTTCTGGGAGTATGGCGATGATAAAAAGCTGGAGAGTGGAGTTAACTGAGGGTCCCAAGTGAAGCCGACTCTTGGGAACAGCAAGTGCACAGGGAGGAGCGAGTCCCTACTCCCTCCTCTGTCCTGCCAGGATCTCCCTCTAGTGTCACCTAGTTGTAGAACTTAATGGGGAGCTGCAGGCAAAGCAGAACTGTGGTTTGCGGAGTCTAAGACTCAGCATCACAGAGCAGAGCTGAGAGATGATAACTTAATAAACAGCACACTGTCAAATTGTTTCTTAATTAAGGAATTATGGGTTAGTTAGCACACTCCCTGCCTAGACCGCTCCCTCAGTTATTCACAGCAGCAAGAGCCGGTAGGGGATATTATATCACCAGAAGTTCCCTTTCTGAGATTTCCTGCATAGAATGTGATGCGCCTCCATATTGCCCAACTCTACAGTCAACTGAACACTTCCCCACCAGGCTCCAGAGCCTGAAGGCATCATGTGTGTCCTGCTGATCTATTGTGCTCACTGATACATCCTGATTTATTATAATTTATTTACTTGACTCCCCTCCCCTCCCCTCCCCTTCCCTTCCCCTCTCTCTCTTTTTCTCTCTCTCTCTTTCTTTCTTTCAAGTTGGTATCTCAGTCTGTTGCACAGGCTGGAGTGCAAGTGGCATGCTCATAGATACCACAGCCTTGACCTGCTGGGCTCAGGCGATCCTTCTGCCTCAGCCTTCTAAGTAGCTGGAACTACAGGTGTGTGCCACCATGCCCGGCTAATATTTTTGATTGATTATAGAGTTGAGGTCTCACCATGTTGCCCAGGCTGGTCTCGAACCCCTGGGCTCAGGCAGTCCTCTTGCCTCTGCCTCCCAAATTTCTAGAATTACAGGTGTAAGCCACTGAACCCAGCCCCAATTTATATTTAACTTAGCTAGACTTAAATAAAATTAAAAATTGAAATAATTTAAAATTTATTTTTTTTTCTTTGAGTTGGAGTCTCACTCTACCACCTAGGTTGGAGTGTAGCAGCATGATCACAGCTCACTGCGGCCTCAACCTCCTGGGCTTGGGTGATCCTTCTGCTTCAGCTTCCTGAATATCTGGGACTATAGGCATGCATCACCATGCCCAGCTTTTTTTTTCTTTAAAAATTTTTTTTGTAGAGACGAGGTCTTGCTGTGTTGCCTAGGCTGGTCTTAAACTCCTGGGCTCAAGCAATCCTTTTGCCTTGGCCTCCCAAAGTTCTAGGATTACAGGCATGAGCCACCCCACTTGGCCTTAAAAATTCATCTCTTCAGTCTCACTAGCCACGTGTCAAGGGCCCAATGGTCATAGTGCCTAGTGGCTACCATATTGGACTGCACAGAATAGAACATTGCCATCATTGCAGAACATTCTGTTGGTCACAACTATCCTAGAGTCTTTAAAATACTCATAGGAAGGAAGAGTGCTAATAAATTATTGGATTTTTCAGATGAGGTTGTAAGTAGTCTCTTCAAACTTTGTTTTTAACCAGTGCACCCTTTGTTTTCATTTGGTTAATATTCAGGAAACCTTCCTTGTTTGTATGACCTTGAGACAGTCCCTTTAATTTCCTTGGGCATCAGTGTTCTATTCATGCTTGGCGAGGTCATCTCTGAGTTTACTGTCTTCTCCTAAACCTCTTTGCCCGTGTACAGCATCTGCTGCCACTTCCACATGTCCCCTTTCCTCAGGCTGAGTTTCAAGGAAAACCAAAGATTTTCCTCCAGAGCCCTTTCCTGTGGCAACCTCTGGTGGCTTGTGACCTACAGGAGAATGTATAAAGCCAGAACCTTCAGAACACGCAGCTTACCATCGGGGCTGTGCCCTTGCCACTGCCACTTTCGTTCTCCCCACACTCCCCTGCATCAAACAATGCTTGTTACCCGACATACCCTGAACCTCACATCCATGCACCTTTGCCCAAGTTCCTCCTCTTTGTGGGTGGCCTCCCATTACCTTGTCCTTGACCTCTCTGACCTTCACAGCAGGAGCCTACTTCCCTGACTGCTCCAGCTGCCACCTAGCAAGGTCATGCTTTACCCAGGCTGCTCCATCCCAATGCCTGGTATGTTTACTAATTGTCCACCTCGTTTTCTTTCTTTGTTTTATTTTTAATACTATAGAGACCAGAGGGTCTTGCTGTGTTGCCAGGCAGATCTGAACTCCTGGGCTCAAAGGATCTTCCTGTCTCAGCCTCCCAAGTGGCTGGGACTACAGGCCACTTTGTTTTTAAGCAATATAGTGCCCACAATCCTTTTTTTTTTTTTTTTTGAGTCAGAGTCTCACTCTGTCGCCCAGACTGG